ACCTGCAGGTATCAGGCTGTGATGTTCTCCTATATAGTGAACAGAAATTACACACACATTTGGCACAAATAATTTGTGTGGCATCTTAACGAATGCAGAACACCTGATTGTTATGTAAATAATTTGAAATGGTTATAAAAAAGGGTAAAAGGTAAATGGCTGCAAATAACTTTGTTTGCCAAACTTGTGCATAGGAGTTTAAAATTGACAATTTATATTTGCATTTAAAGTTATGAAATATGATTCAATAAACATGTTTGTGGTTATTACAGTAAAAAATATAACTTTCTACTCGGATTTGATGTTTTTTGTCTGATTTTAGATCTATTGTGTTAATACAGTATGTAAAAATGAAAACATAACTGTAAATTCAGACACGTGACGTTGTGCTGAAAAGGATTATACCAAACAAGACAAAGTAAATCGTTTTTAAAGGTAAAATGTAGAGGAAACATCAAAAGTGGTTAAAAATGGCCAATTATACCCTGGACCCCAGAGGGTTAAACATTTTTTTAAAGTAACGCAATAGTTACTTTTCAAGTAATTAATTACTTTTAGAATCTTGAAACTCAGTTACTAACGCAGTTACTTTTTTGAAGAAGTAACTAGTAACTATAATTAATTACTTTTGCAAAGTAATTTGCCCAACACTGATAATAAGTAAGCTTATTTAATAAGACATAGACAGTCACACAGCACTGTACACAAAAAGAGTGCAGTGGTGATAGTTTTGAATGTCTTTGGGCAGGTTTTCAACTTTTCTTTGTTGTGTAGCTTTTGCATTCAAACACCAAAGAAAGATGGTTTTTGTTGGTGTCCTCTTTAGGATAGGGATTTGTGTCAGTGTGTGGGACTATAACCCAAGCTTCTTATTGTTAACTTGACAATGTATTTCAGGACATGTTGCTAACTAATGCAAAAGAAATGTAATAAGTAGTGTAACATATTACATTCTCCAGGGAGTAATTAATGTGTATTACATATTTTTTTTGCGTAACAATCCCAGGACTACACCTCATATGGTGTGGTCTAAAGCAGCGGTCCCCAAGTCCCCGGGGAATTGTTTGGTACCGGGCCACGAGAGTTGAGGCTCGGGTGTGAAATTTATGGTTTTCAGGGTTTCTATCGGTTTTTATCGTTATTTCTTTTTAACGTTTTTCCCATTAACTCAGTTTCCCTGGGTCTTTTTCCATGTGTTATGAATAAATCTTCCTTTTTTGTACTGGTAGTGGTTTTATTTTGCTGTATTTATCTGCGACACCTTAAAGGCCGGTCCGTGAAAATATTGTCAGACATAAACTGGTCCGTGGTGCAAAAAAGGTTGGGGACCGCTGGTCTAAAGGGTCTTTGCATCACCATCACCTGACTGTATGTGTGACCTTAGGACCACTGTCCACTTTCTACTCTCCTTCCATAGTAGAAACCTGAAGATTAGACAAGCTGAAACGAAGCACAGACGAAGCGAGTTCTTCATCTGAAAAGAATAGTAAACAAAGAGCAACATATGAATAGTTAAAAAAGAAAAGAGTAGCCTTTGGGACTGTCCTTTCTTTGGCACTAAGATGCAATAAATATTTCTTCCACCTACAACAGAGTCCCTGAAATATTTTTTTTCCACAGGGGAAACATGGTCTTATGACAGTTTCCACAACACTTATAAAATATTAGTATTGTGTAAAACAAATTCAAAATGCAGTAGCAGCTCTTTCATAGGAGCCAGAACATTACACATGTAGTACAATATAAATAGTAACGCTCTGAAAAATGTAATGACGTGTATATTGCATGTGCATGGTAAATTCAGCATATGTGTTCATGGATATCGTCATAGTTGTCTACATTGCCTTCAAATGTTTTGTTGTTGTTGTTATTCTCAAGACAAATTAATTTGTGATCAAACAGCACCACGAAACCTGAATTACACAAGAAGAAAATTAGAAACAAATGTGCTTTAAAATGGTAAGTGTTCAGTGTCTGAAATGTGAAATGACAGCACTAAAAGCTCTCAATATCAGTAGGAGTACTGATACAGTACAGGACAACTAAACAAGTAAAAAACAAAATAACTGCAAAAATCCTTTAAGAATAATTGAATTAAAAAAAAGTGAATCAGACATCAAGAGTTTCTCCTTTTATATCATATCTTATTCTCTTTCATCATCGCGTGTGCATTGATCATTTATAACAAGAGCAAACATAAAGGCGGCTGAATACAGGCAATTTCCAATCCTTTTGGGGATCACTAATATACCATAAATACCAAACAGTATATAAACATGAAGCACTGTGAGCATATCATACCAACAGATTCACACATTAAACAGAAATATAAAATGCTCAGAGTTTTTTAAAATAATGTTTCATGTATTTACATTTATATAATTTTGGAACTCTAAAATAAACCCAAACAAAACAGTAAAACACTGGGCATCACACTTTATATTGTCAAAAACACTGATTAGTTCAACATTTTCTTTTGAAAAAGTGCCAAATAAATTGGGGCATTGTTATTATATTGTTTATTTCCTCATTATTTTCAAGAACCAGCAGCTCACATATCAGTTTTCACATTCCATATACATTCAAAACTGACAAAACCAGGGATTTGTCTTTGGCATACAGTTAATCTTCTATATAATGTAGGGCTGGGCGATATGGCCCAAAAGCCATATCGCGATATAATCTGAATCACATGCGGTAACGATATATATCGCGATATATTCTTTTCTTTTGTATAACGTATTTTCCACACTATAAGGCACACTTAAAATCCTTTAATTTTCTCAAAAATCGAGTGTGCCTTATGTATGAATTCTGGTTGTGCTTACTGACCTCGAACCAATTTTGGTGTGCAGAAATCTGTTAAAAAATGTTTTAAATGGATTGTTAGAGCATTACAGCTGCTGTAGCGAGGAGCTTCGCAGAGTAATCTGGGTCCAAAACT